GGGGCGGGGGAACCGCGAAGCGGGGACCCTGACACGGGTTGGGTGTTCGTGACGTGGGGGAACCGGAGCCCGACTCATTCCGGTCAGTCCGCGCACAGCCGAGCCAGGAAAACAGGAGTAGAGGACGTGGGCCGTGAGGTCTCGGCACGCAAGGGCCATCTGCGCCTTGAGCCTCCGGACAATGCAGGGCCCCCTCCGAGCCCGAGCTGGAGCAGAGTCGGGGTTTGCGCAGCGGCGGGGCCGCCTTGTCTGGTGCTACTGGGAGGAGGCCGAAGCTGCCTGGTCTCTGCCTCGCGCCTGTCTGGAGTCAGCGCCCCCCTCCGACCAAGGGAGGCAGAGGGCTGGGCTCCCCCGCCACGCTGGTGGTCACAGCTTTGGGGAGGTGGCAGGGCCTGGGTCTTGGAAACTGGACTGGGCTGCCTCCAAGGGGCTGCAGTGGAAATACCCAATTTCCAGCGAGCCTGGGGAGGCCACCGCCCGGGCTGGAGAGTGACCGTGGGTGACATTGGTGCCTGGCCTCACTCCCATCCTTGGGGAGGGGTATGCTGTGGGAGCTGCTTGGAAGTCGTTTGGGCCCCTACCTCAGCTGCGACTCCCCCGACTGCTGGGGTCACCCCACCCATTTGGCTGGAGGTGGCAGGGGTTCAGGGACAGAGCGCCCAGGGCCAACAAAGGGGCCTTTCTCTGCTGGCCAGGAAGAGGCTGGCCCTTGTTAAGTTGGGGATAGGGTGTTGTCTGGCTGCCATTGTCCCCACCCTCATCTTCACATCATGCATATAGAGGAGAGACCATGCCTGTCACCCTGCTCAGGGTGGGGGAGGCAGGCATGACAAGGTCCCCTCCACAGTCAGTCTTGGCCCCACTTGGGCTTTATTGCTCCCCCACCTTCCCAGTTTTCAGCTGAGAAGTAGGAGGTGCAGAAGGGGGAGGGCCAGAGCCCAGGAGAGAGATGTGGTGACTCTGGGACCACCAAGGTGGAGCGGCTCCCCACATTCCTGAGGAAGTCGGGTGGGGGACATCGAGGTCATGGGTCTCCTCACTTTTGGAATCCGTGGAGGTGGGGCTCCAGCCCCAGGCCCTCCCTCCCCAGCTGGGATGGGCCTCTCCCCCACAATTCGCAATTCAAGGCTCGCCCTTCCCAAGAAATGGGTGAAGGGCTGCCCTGTCTTCCAAAGCTCCTCTTCTTGGCAGCAGCCTGGTTGCCAGGGGTTACCGGAGCTGGCTCGGGCTGTCTCCATGGCAACTGGAGGTACTCCAGCCCCCTCAGCCTCTGGGAGCGGGGTGAGGTTTGGCCCAGCAGCTCTGGAGCCCTGCCCCACCTGGGACCCCAGGAGCACTAGACCCCCAGAATTCCTCCCTGACTGACCATTGCATGCCCCCACTTACCTCACGTCCTTCCTGATGTCCCCTCAGGTCACCGCATCTCACTGTGCTGCCCCATTCTCTCCTGTGTTCTCCCCCAATACCCGCCCCATCTTCCCCAGTCCCGTGTTCCTCTCTGGTCTCCCCAGATTCTTCCTCTGAGGCACCATTTTCCCTCAGGTTTCTCCCCCACAAGGATCACTGGGGGTTATAATCCCCCAAGTTTTCCCAGTGCTCCCATATTCCCCTCCATGTTCTCTTCACAGGTTCACCCCCATAGCCCCTTTCACATCTTTTCTTTAATTCCTTCCTTCTTAATGTCATACCCCCAGCTCCCCGTGACCCCCAAGCCCTAACTCCCATGTTTGGACCCCACTGGCCTCCCTTGCTTTATGCCGACATGTCTCCCTCCTGACCCTTACAGCCTGCTCTGTTTTTCTCAGGTCCCCACTCACTCCCCTCTGCACACCATGGTCAGACAGCTGGGCACTAAGTTTAGCCCTTGGCAGGCACACAAGGGCTCTGGTTACTCCAGGCAGCTGTGGATTCTGGGCCGGCCCCCCCAGTAGTGCCTGGCCCAGGCAGTTCCTGGGCTTTGGTCTCCCCACCTGAAGGAGCAGCCCCTGGCATTGATGGCTACCCACCTTCTCACCCACAGCCTCTGGCAAAGCGATGTCGCCTCCAGCCTAGAGATGCTGCCAAAATGCCTGAGAGCGCTTGGAAGTTCCTCTTCTACCTGGGCGCCTGGAGCTACAGTGCCTACCTGCTCTTTGGCACCGACTACCCCTTCTTTCATGACCCACCCTCCGTCTTCTATGGTAGGGGCCCTGGTGGGATGCGGGGGTTTCTGCTCTAAACGCCAAGGAGAAGGGTACACAGGGGAGCTGGTGCTCATCAGCCATCCTATGCTGGATCTCTGCCCCAGACAAGGGTGATTAAGGAACCCTGGGAACAAGAAAGAAGGCACCTGGCCCTATAAGGGCTCAGGGAGGTGTACTGGAGGACGTAACCCCTTTTGTAGGCCCAGGTGTCAGGAACGGCATACGCAAAGGTCCGGGGCATGCACAAGCTTGGTGTGTGAGAACAAGGGGAGGGTGACAGGAGTTTTAATTTCATTCTAAATGGGATAGTTCGTGGATTTTGAAAAGCTTCCTCTGAGTGCCATATGGAGACAGGAGAGTCTTGAGTGAGGAGAGTAGCAGAGCCCAGCGGGGAGGCGAGCGACCAATGTGGTTTGGATCAGCTTGTCAAGGAGATAAAGATGGTGAGAAGTGGCTGCATCCATGGATTGGATTAGACGTAGGGGTGGTCAAGACCTAAGCTCTGGGTGGGACAGACAGTGGGTAACTACAGTGTCCTTTGTCGCCAACAGGCAGGCCAATAAGAAAACTCAACCTGTAACGGGAGGGGGTTAGTGTCAGGCTCCTCTGTTCCTGTGCTGACCACCCAGGCCGTGTATGTATTATGGCCGTGCTTCCTGCCATGTGACATAAATAGCCTGAGAGGGCTCCTAGTGGCTCTGTTGGAGGGCCAGGCATGGAGCTCCTGCATTGCAGAGTCCTGGTGACAAACATTGGGTTTACTGGGCACCTGTCTGTCTCAGTGGGACCATGCTGCCCACATGACCATTTTCCCACGTGCATTTCCCATGTGATAAATTTCTAGAAGGGAGGTTTTAGCTGTCATTCAATTTTCCTTTATGCAAATGAACCATAATTGAATTCTTAAAATTTGGGGCTTGGAGTTGCCTTTGCCTCTTATAAATTATGTTATAATATCATGCTTGCAAGTTAGTTGCTGTTTTGCATGCTCATTTATTGAGCACCAACTGTATACCAGGCTCTGTGCTGACATAGCTGTAAGTCAGAGGAAGCCCCCAACAGACAGTGAAATACAAAATCTGTTAACAGTCATGAGTCCTGATGAGAAAACTTGGGTGGGGAGAGGAGGAGGGATAAGAGGTGTCGGTGAGGGGGGAGAGGGCATTTTCTACAGCCGTGGGAATGGCCTCACCAAAGGTAACTTTTGAGTGGGGACATATAGGAGCCTGGGCAGACAGGAAACACACTCCTGTTGGATCAAGAGCAGAGAGAAGTTTGCCTGGCCAGAGCCGGAAGCAAGGAGGGCGGGTGGGCAGAGGGGTATTTAC